GTACGCTAGCGTTACGCCAGCGTTTCACCAGCGTTTTGCTAGCGTTTGCAGCGGCAGGGGAGTAGAGACTATGGGAGAGCTGGAGGGTACAAAACACATCGATTGCGCGTCTCTTACGGCCACATAGTCTCTACTCCCCTGCCGCTGCAAACGCCAGCAAAACGCTGGTGACGCTGGGAACGCTAGATCGATATGCATCCTCTCCCCGGCACTGCCGCTGGCGTACGCTGGAAGCGCTACGCTGCCGCAAAGTATAAACGCAGCCTAATGTTGCTAAACGTACACACAAAGAGCTCCAGCTGCCTGAGCCAGGCAAAATAGAGCCCGAAGTAGAAGCGAATCCGCGACAATCCATTCCTTGACGTCAGCATCAAGAGAAAGATAGGAAAGACCTTCACATGCAAATCGTCTGACATCCGTGCTGTACTTTTCATAATCCAGTAAGAACTTTTTGCAAGTGTGTGCAAGTTTCAGCGATGCGCCTTCCTTCATTGTGGCTCGCGAGGCGTCGTCACCACCAGCGGCAGCACATTTGCACAGACCCTGAATTGTTGAAGTTGGCTCATTCAACGACAGAGACAAGGATTTTGCACGAGTAGCTACGAGGAGGGTCCTATACATGCGTTCGGTGGGGCTGGTCCGAAGCTGTAGAAGCGTACCTCCTACTACGATCGACTTTACCTTTAAGTCGATCGTACGATTAGCAGGGAGAGGGAGCCTTTTCATGCGCTAGGTGGGGCAGGTACGTAGCTGTGGATGCGCGTCACTCTCATTACTTGAACGTGCACTGAAGAACTGCGATAGCCGGATGTTCTTCTATTTCTCTGCGAAGCACACATGCAGCACGCCATATAACCAGCCATACTCTTGCCCACGACCATACACGTCAATTTTTAACGCCCCCTGACTTTTGGCAGGGAAGTTATAGTTCTTCACGGCTTAACTTCTACGTATAACGGTTAAGACATAAATTAAACAGCGGCTGGTATGCTCCAGCTTATTCAGGGACAGGTAATACTTAAACGTAGTGAGCACGATGGCTGGGAACGGGCGGTTGCTGCCAATGTAATTTGCGGAAGTGCGGATTGGGTGTGCCCAAACGCCCCATGATATTGCCACAACCGCCGGCCCCTCCTCCCACCATCGTGCCCACATTTTTCGGAGGAACTACTTACTATTGAGACGCAAAATAAATGTCTAATAAGGAAGTACTCACCACTAAGGCTCGAACTTTGACATTCTCGTCTTCAGAATCGTACAACTGTCTCATAATTGGAACGCCGACCTGAATAGCATAGAGTACCAGTGAAAATGATAACGCTTATGCAAAGAAGTCCCCGATACATACCTTCAGGATCGAAGTAGCGCGTTCATGCTTGACCACGGTCATCACAATCAACTCAGCAGCTACGCTCTAAAAAACTCTCCCGTTGACCCATCGCCTTGTCGGAAGTAGAAATCAAACTAAACCTGCATAAGGTGATTCGAAGACGCGGCCATTTGAAGCATCAAAGCGGTGACCTGGTCATTTGTTACGAGATTAACTCCAATATCAACGGGACCCTTAAAATGAGCAGAAATCTCAGCGAGTGACTACTGAAAACTGAACTAAGCTCGAACAATACATACCTGCAGCAACGTAGTTAAGAGCGCTGCAAGTTTTATACGAACTTTATGGCCTTCTGGATCGTCGGTGGCACGAGCCATGAGAGCACTATGAGTGACGAGGTATGCTTATGTTATACATCGAACAATATTTATGAACTCACTTGAAAAACTGGTCCACCTTCTCCTTGTAAATCATCCTTTTCGAATCGAACACCTGAACGTCAAATAGGATAAAATAGGTGATTGTATTGATCCTGCAAGGAATACAGATTTAAATGTAGCAAAACTGGTACCATATCGTCGTCAAGGCGCTGAAGGCAAATAGCCACATGTTGTCGTGTCTCATGCGAAACTGGATAGTCGCATTGCTCGGGTATCTGTGACGCCACATCCAAAAGGCAGAGGAGACCTTTAAATGCTTTTCGGAGCCGTCAATAAGGTGCTAGTGAAGTGGTCGGAGGCCACTTTGCGCTCCCGGAGACGAGGGCCGCGCGCGGCACTGAGCGTCTACGCCCTCCCAAACAGGAAAAAAGAAAAGAAACTGTATTGAGGAAACGCTCCGAAACACAGGTAGGGCGGTTCGCCCCTTCCTGAACAATCGCTATTCCGTAACCAAAGAGTGAAAGGATGAGATAACTTCGTTTCGCGAAGCCGCGCGCGCCCGTCATACGCAAACATCGTAACAACCTCAAGGAGGTAAGCGCTCAAAGAACTTACCTTGATTTTCGACGAACTTCCATGACCATCCTCTTGGAATGCCACCATCCATATGCATTAAATTCTTCAGCAGCAGATCAATAACCATTTCACGCACCGAAAATCAGTGAATCGTTTCTTTGCTTTCAGGAACACACTTAATAACTCACTATGGCTGTCACGGTTTTATCCTTCAGCATGCTCTTGTAGCTCCAGAATTACACGAATTATCCACAGTTTGTTAGCTGAAATGAGGAGCAAGTAGGTGGCTCAGTAAGTCACCTAACATTTAGAATAAAACCGGTTGTAGTAGTGAAGGTGAACGTCTCAGAATGATTTCGAGGATACCAATCCAAAATTAGAAAGTGATATCCAATCCAAAATCCACTTCCACCTCAAGGCAGGTGATATGACCCATACAGAAGAGCACAAGATTAGTGAGCTATTTCAGGGACCAATAAGAAGCCTGCTCGCATGGGCATGCTGGCCCACCCGAAGTATACAACATGTACCCGCGCTAAATGAGATAGCATTTGACTTCCATTCCTGGATGGGGTGAGTTTGAGAGGCTCATCGGGAGGAAAAAGGGAGCAAAGAGACAAGGGCTGCACCTACCCGAGCACTGAAAGGTATAAAGCGCAAATGATGAATTTGGTGTGGGATCTTACAAAGAAGATACAGGTTGCGTAAGTCTGTTAGGTCTTCAGACAGTTGTAGAGTGCATCGTCGGAATAGCCACTGAGCCGTGTCTGAGCAAGAGAGCGCAGGAAGCAGGAGCAAGTCGGTTTGATGACCGATACGGGCCAAAGGATAGAATTCGAGCAGTTCGTAAGCCTCATTCAAGTACAAAGGAAGGCTAACAAAACGCAAGTAAATAAGTGCTGGTATTTATTGAGCGTTACCTTCAGCAACTTCTAGATCAGGTTTTATGTCCTTCGTGCGATCCATTTTTGCAAGAGCATTGAATATTCTTTGGACAATCAGGCCCAGCTGCATCCACATATTGTTTAGCGTCTCTAGCACACATTATACGGCAGACACGTCGTACCGAACGCAGACCGTCATCGTCATGCATGAACAGGAACTGCATGAGCCTTAAAAAAGGACTAATAGGCTGCTGAATACTAGGCTGCCGAATACAGGACGAACAACAAGTTGTAATTTTCTGCAAGCAATAAAAAAAGCAGACCTGAGAGAGTAGTGTGAGGTCGCAATCGCTTCGAGGATGAGGTCTGAGCAGAATGTATTCGAAATAAAAGCGCAATGGCTTTTTTACACACCCTCACTGCCGTTCATTAAGAGCGAAATAAAAGCACGGGTCAGCTCAATCTTTTGATCCACTCGTAACTGGAGTCGGGTCTCAGGGGATCTGTCAACAGGAAAGCGTGCCTCCTTGGCCCTCCATTTCTTTCTCCGTCACTTATTTCCCTTCTATCGAATGCTCGGCCTGTAGCTGCGCCGAAAAAATTCCTCTGGACTCTCTGAGAAGTCAATGCAATACGTGCCCCTACTAGCAAGTAACAGAATGTTATCGCTAGACGTCCATATTGACGACTGCGATCCCAGGCCATTATTTAGCAGCAGCGAGAGAAGCTAATGTTTCTGTTAAGAAACTGCAGAATCATAAAGACTTAAAGTCAAGTCTCAGTTAAGAAAAAGCGTGGTTAGGAGTCAGAATGGCGGTTTGACGCGCGTGAATTTGCAGAGTACTCCCAAGCCAGTGGAGTTAACACGGAGCGGCACTCTCACGTTAAATCAAGCAGACACTGGTGCGAATGTCGCGCACACGACGCACGCGCCGCGCTCGCCACGCCGTCACTCGGATGTCCAGACCAAGAACGATCAGCAAATGCATCACATACTCTGCCGTGATCCTTGATTAGCTCGTCCACGATACGAATGACACACACTGATATTTCCAATGGTTCGTTGTTATCTTCAGCGATAGCCAGCAAAGTTTTTATACTTTTTCCCTGGAGCGAACCAAAATCAAAACGGTCTCGAACAAAAATTATAATGAGGGTCTTTACCGACAGCCAGACCTTACAACCTACCGAATTCCAAATCCTTACAGCACCTGCCTCATTTTCCCTAGCAAGTACAAGAAGGTTGTTGAACGCCTAAACACAGCATCAGGCAAACGAAATGAGTTTTCCAGGTAAGGAAGGTGATTAGTACCTTCTTTTTTCGTTCCTCATCCTTGGCAGAGCCTTCGAAAGCAAGCCTGCTCATGTCATTCACTTTGTTATCCATACTTGTAGCTTTCTTCACTTTCTCATTGTTCGCAACGACTAATCGTTGGAGCATTTCAGAAATAGCCCTGTAAAGATGCACCAATGAAATTTCGAAGAAAAGTAGGGGAATCAGTAACTAACTTGTCCTTGGGACTCAGCCTCAATGCCTCCTTGGCATCTTTGAATGCTGCTGCTACATTGTCCAGGTGCTCACGGGCAAGAGCTCGCCGATAAAGGGCCTTCACATCAGCGCCATCGTATTCAAGAGCTGAACAGAAAAGGTGAAACCGTAGAAGCAAGCCTATTTTGGGCTTTGGGCTATAGGGGAGCTGGGGCTCCATGTGATTTGTTATCAAACATGGTCAACCAATCAGCGCACCCCAGAGTTGCTAAAAATAGGAGCTGAGCAAAAGCATGATATTGGCGCGAAAAAGGACAGGTCTCCCCCTCATGCGCATGAATTGATACTCACACAGCAAACTTTGGAGATGAATGCCTCAGGAGGGGTCGTTCCTAATGGTGAGGTCTAGGTGAGATAGTGCATTGAGAGCGCGATAGATTTTGGCGTCGACTATGGCATACCAATGTCACACTATCCCGGCGAGAGGGTGCAGATGAGCAAAAGTTACGTTGCGTAGCCGTGCTGAAGAGTGCCTCCTTTCACATAGCCCCCTTAATCCAACGAAAAACTTGAGAATGCAGTCATAAGCAACATCAAAATAGTACTAGTAAATACTAGTGGTTACAACTCACCCTTAGTGGCATCGCTTTCAGCCCCTTCAAAGTCATCCTGTTTCAACCTTGACAGGGAGCGATTTCTATACAGCAAAGCTCGAAGTGATTTATCGCTGTCACTGGCCAGTTGTAGCGCTTCTGTATAACTAAATTACAAAATTGTTGCGTAAGAAATGGAAGAACTGGGAGAGTTCCAGATGTTACCAATAAGTAAGGTATAAAAAAACACTTACTACTCATTCGCTTCTGCATACTCTCCTCGTTTCACTGCATCATTACCGGCATCTTTGAGTGATTCGGCGGATTCCATTTGTGCCACCATACGCTATGAAACGCAAGATTACACAAATACTCACATACTGCGTCATGCGAATAGTTCTTGCGTACTATTTACAACAGCTGTGCAATTTAGGACAATCACTACGACAGAATAGCTTCATTAAAAATAAGAGTAATCATACTCGAGAAAAGTCACGAGTAATCAGCTGATTATTCGAATGCGTCAAGAGACTCTCTACAGAGAGGTGACGTCCGCTCCTCCACGTGGTGCCACTGGAAACTGCCCGCTCCTGCGGGCTGAGCCGAACGCGGACATTCGAAAGCAGGTGACAGGCTTTCGTGACGGGCCGGCCTACGAAAACCCACGTCACATGACCATGCTTAGTCATGCTGATATAATGCCTGTATGTATGCTGATATAATGCCACGGCGTCCGCCCATGCAGGGACGGCAACGGGGGCCTAGTCCAAAAGTGTCGCAGTGTAGCGTGAAAGTTCGTATCACCTGTGCTCCCGTTGATCATCGAGTTCCTCGAGCGGGCGCCAGTAACGTCTCCATTCGTCCCTGCAACGTGCAAGAGTTGCCCAATGACTCTCTCTGCTCGAGGGACACGATGAACTTCATACCATTCGTTCAGAGCTTTCACGAAGTCTGACCATCGCATAGGCGGTCGTCCAGGCGTTCGCTTGACATCCCGTGGAATCCAGTCGGTGATCGCTCTGGTCCAGCGGTCGTCCTCGAAACGCATGACGTGCCCGGCCCACCTGATCTTCGAAACCTTGGCAAATGCGGCGGCGTCTCTGATCTTCGATCGTCGGCGGAGTGCGGAGCTCCGGATTCCCTCTCTCACTTGCGTGTAGCGGGAAACTCCGAGCATCGCCGCGCGTTGAATAACGCCGACCGCATGCTCATCCTGCTTTCGTAGAGTCCAAGTCTCTGAGGCGTACGTCAAGGCAGGAAGGACCGCGGAATCGAAGAGGTGGGCACGGAGCTTGGTGTTCTTCGTCTTCTTCGCTACTCCCTCGATGTTCTTGAAGGCTCCCCAAGCCGCTCGCTTCCTCCTGCTCAGCTCTGGAGCTAAGGTCATTCATCATATTGATTTCACGACCTAGGTACACATAGCTAGAGCATTCAGAGATGGTCGTTCCGTTGAGCGTGAATGGGGCATCAGAAACCAATCCGTTTCTCATGAACATCGTCTTCGTTAGATTCAGCCGTAGACCGATTTTTCCACACGCGCAGTCGAATTCAGCCAGCATTCGTTCCGCTTGCTCGATGTTTGGTGTTATCAAAACGATGTCGTCAGCAAAGCGGAGATGGTGTAGTTGCCGACCGTCGATCTTCACTCCCATGTCTTCCCATTCCAGTTGACGCATGACGTTCTCGAGAGAGGCGCTGAAGAGCTTGGGCGAGATGGTGTCGCCCTGTCGGACCCCTCTCTTCACATCAATGATGATCTCCTTGTAGAATGGTGAGATCTTGGTCGTGAAGTTGCTGTAGAGCTCACGAAGAATCCTGATGTACTGAGTAGGAATACCCTGGTTGCCCAGGGCTTCGATAACCGCTTCTGTCTCAACGGAGTCGAAGGCTTTCTTCAAGTCGATGAACGTGAGACATAGCGGCATCTTGTACTCTCGCGATACTTCGATGAGCTTCGTTACCGTGTGGATGTGATCGATCGTGCTGAATCCTCTTCGAAACCCTGCTTGCTCGCATGGCTGTCCTTCGTCTAGTGTTCTGCCAATCCTGTTCAGGATGACTCGTGTGAAGAGTTTGTAGACTACAGACAGCAGGCAGATTGGGCGATAATTGCCAATGTCGTACAGGTCTCCCTTCTTGTACAGCAACACAGTCTTGCTGGTTCGTTCTCGACGTGTTGACGATGACGGAATCCTCCTAGAGCCCAGCGTGAGAAGTGAAGTGATCCCAGTTGATGGTGGTCTTGGATCTTCGCTTCTTGAACTTTGCGGCTCTTTCTCTTCGCATCGAAAAGCGGAATCTCGCGCGAAGTAGATGGTGGTCGGATCCTGTGTAGAACTTAAGAACAACAGCGACATCGGTCAGGCAAAACCTTCGATTGAAGATGATGTGGTCGATCTCGTTATGGAATTGTCCACCAGGAGACTCCCATGTCCAGCGTAGAGAGTAGGGCTTCTGGAACTGCGAGTTACCATGGATGGATGGTATGGGTCGACATGATAAACTCAAACAGCCTTTCACCCTGCTCATTCCACTCCGTTCCGTGAGTTCCGATGTGAACTTCTTCAGCCGTTCTTTTTGGTCCGATCTTAGCGTTGAAATCACTGACGATGACCTTGAAGAAGGTATGATCTTCCTTGTAGAACTTCTCCAATTCCATATAGAAACGCTTCGAGCTCATCCTGTCGCGTAGCTTCGATGTTTGGTGCCGTAGGCCCGACGAAGATGTCAAACCGGAGCTTGAACCACATCTTTCTCAATCGCAAACGTCCGATTCGGGTCGTCAGCATTTTCAGTTATGACGAAATCGATGTTCATAGCCAAGTGTGTGTTGACGAGGACGCCCACACCGCCAACGCCTCTGCTGTCGCATGTTCCGAGGAACAGTTCTTCTCCAGTCTCGTACAGGCGTGTAGCGGGCGATGCCTCCTCGTCTCGGTTAGTCCGATGACGTCGTACTTGATCTTCCTGGCATGCAACATCAGATCTTCGATGTGAGCTTCCGATGCAAGCGTCCGTGCGTTGAGAGTACAGATCGTCATCCTAGTCCTGTCCTGGGCGACTTAAATCTCCGTTGGCCCTGTGATTCTTGCAGCCTCGCCCGAGCGGGTCTCAGCCGACGTCGCCCTGTCGATGGTTCCCTCAGGTTCAAACGAGGCCCATAATTATTACTGTTTTCGGCGTGAAGAAATTTGACCACGCGTAGCTCGCCAGGCTCTGACGTGGCACCCTCCGCATTGGTACGGTGTTGGAACAGTCCAAACCGTTCACCCCACGCCACGTTGAGGCTGCGGATAGGATTTGTGGGGTAGGGGAAGTTCGTATAGCAACGTTAACGTTGGGACCTTAATGGACGTTCATGGGAATTGGCAGGGGCACAGACGAATCGATCTATGTGCGGTGCAGGTAACAAGATGGTCCAGTTGCAGGTCGAGAAGCATTGGTCGCGGCTTCAAGGCTATTCTTTGTAGAAGCCAAGGACCTCACCGGTGTGACCGTAATCGTATCCCGACGTTTCGGGGTCCTCGAATAGCTAGCGTGAGACTTTTCGACGACCACTATCGAGAATAGACTGCAACACTTTTTCTCCCATATGCTCTGCAGCTGTGATGCACTGAGCAATTAAATGACGAGTTCTGGACACTGTTAGAGGAAATGACGGCTGAGGTATCGTCACAAGACGCTGATATTGTCGCTGGCAACCTTACCGGATACGTAGGCGCGACGAAAGATGGTTACAGTTGTCGTGGTGGTTCTGGAATACATACCGTCGATGAGGAACGGTATCGTGAAATGTGCAGAAGCCCATGATCTTGCCATCGTGAAGACAAAGTTTCGTAAACGGGTCTCCCACCCGATCTCCTTCTGCAGCGGCAGCGCCAGAACATAAGTACATAGACTTTTTCAGGCATCGCGATCAAGGGCTCGTCAAAGACGTGGCGAAAACCGTGCCGTATGAGACAGTAGCCTCGCAACATCGCCCGCTTATCTGTACGCTAAAGATAACACCGCCCAGGTCGAAACAGAACGAGCGATGTGGTCCCGAGAGAATCAAATCGAGGTGGCATTTGAAGGAAAAGGAGGCAGCTGTGATCTCTCGCATTCGATTACCAACCGTCACAACTGTCGACGAAACATGGAAGAATGCTGCCAAAGCGATAGTTCAGGCCGCTCGCTCTGAACTTGGCACAACGAAACCTGGAAGGCGTAGAATTGAAAAGCAGGCATGGTTGTGGACAGATGACGTCAGGCTAAAGGTTCGCGAGAAGAAGAAGCGCTATCACTTGTTTCTCGAAGACAAGTCAGCTGACAACTGGCGGAAATACCAGAAAGTGAAAAGAGCGGCAAAGGAGCATGTAGCTGCTACGAAAGCCGCTTACTTCGAAGAAGCCAGTTAAAAAAAAGATGTATTAGTGGGTGATGACCCTTGTTTCTATTAACGGTCACAAGACAATACAAGATTTATTATTTTCCTTACCAAAAATGTAGCAACAAGTAGAAATAACAGGTAATAATAGAATAGCAGCAATTAACAGCGACTTCAGAAGTTGAGTATCAGTGTGCAGGTAGACGAAACGTGGGGACGGCAGCTCGGGAGTTGCAGGAGTGGACGATGGGGTGAAACGGCAGCTTGTTGACTCGGAAGACTCGAACTCGAAGACTAAGACTTTCGAAATCCGGCGGCCCCTTATATAGGCCGCTTTCGCGCCCATATCGATGTGCGACTGTTTTGACGCCCGTCGATCCTCGGGCTCGATCACAATTTGACATGCCCGGGGGAACAAAAATACATGGCTCCACTCCATGTTATGGTGAGGAATCACAAAAAAACTACTCAAAGCTCCTGCAACTTCTGGGCTGCTGCCCTCATCTTATCTCGCAAACGACAAGCGGCCCTTTTCCTATGTTTCCGGTTCCCCGAACCAGAGGCTACCTCCTTCGAAGGAGCCGGCTCTCCGGGCCCCTTCTTCCTCTGCGCTCTAAACGGGGTGAGCTTCAAATCCTCCAACTCTAACATAGGCTGCAGTTGGCTCCGCAGGAACTTATAGAAAGTACGAGTAGCATCTTCACTCATCCATTCCTCTGCGTTTTTCAGCACTCCCACCGCGGCCCAAGCCGCGTGGGTATCAACTACCCCCACAGTCTGCTGCAAAACGTCCGATATGAGTGGCGCGTGCTCTGGCCGACCCGAGATGTAGCTGAGCAGGTGGCTTCTCATCTTTAGCGTGACGTGCTCCCAACTGACAGTGTTCGTCGTTCGCGGTCCGTTCACGATATATACACGTGTGCCACAGGTCGCCCACAAATCTATGGCTGAGATGACAGCAAGCCACGCGGTGATCT